AACATCGAAATATCCATTGTTAACAGTAAGAAAAAGCGTGAAAAGAACATTTTTCGTAGAAATAATTTTTCTTATTATCAGGTAGCAAAAGATGATCAAATGGAATCTATTCGACAATCACGACCTGAAGAAAAAAATTATACCGGTTATCATACAGTTCATAATTTAGAAATCCCAAATTTATCAATAACAGTAAATGAAATTTTGTTATATTTATTTTCCAAATAATTTTACTCTATTTTAGACATTTGCTGGTCCATATTTACAAATCGAAAGTACACCACTAGAATTATTTAACAAAGGTCGACAAACAGCATTGAAATAAGAAGAATATATATACAGTCATTTTTTATTATTCAAAAATATAATAAGATTATTTTTTTATATTTTTTTAAACAAATATTTTTATTCTCCATTTTTTAATACAACGAGTATCTTAAAATAATTTCTCTTTTTCGAAGCTGACTACAAATATACGGGTAACAAATACGATAGTAATAGAATCGAGCATTGTTCAATTATTGTCTATATACACTAGTAATTATGCTTCCTGTACTTTTGGTTTAACTGTAAGAACAATCATTGTTTGTTGGGAAGAAAATAGATAATTTTTTAAAAGACGATTTAATGAATAATCATTTAAAAGATATCGTTTTATATTATTATGATTGTATAATTGTCTTATTAGGTTTAATAGAGAATAATTAGTTGAATTTAAATTAGTTAATAAACCAGTTGGTCGTATCGAACAAATAGGTGCTAAATGTAAAAAAAGAAATGAACTAGTTAAACATGGTTGTTCACGATGAATATTAACAATAAATATTTGATGAGCAAATGGCATTTTTGTACTAAGACGATTTACAGCTATATCGATATCATCAGAAGTTTGTAATGGTATTTCACATGATGGTAAAAGAAGTATTTTTTTACCTGGAAATAAATATAAATGATCCTTAAAATAAAAATTTTCTTCATATACCTGTATCGATCAAACGTAATCGTTGCATATTAACAATATCACAAAGAGAATTATTAAAAAATGCTAAATTCATACATGTCATTTGTATTGAATTATTTTTCAAAATATTTTTCAGACTATTTGATAGAGTTTTATAAATATAATGAATAAATAATGATCGATATTGTTCGGATTGTTTATGATCATCAATAAGAATACAAACTGATCTATAATTATCATTGCAAGTTAATAGAAGTTGTGAATCGATAAGTTGTTCTAATGAACTATCGGAATTATTCAGTATTATTTGTAATTGTTTACAAGCTAGAGTGTTTTTCGATGCTCTAGCAATAATTGTATGATTTTGTGCTTTATATTGATAAATTGATTTAGAATTATTGGGATGTGAATTTGTAATAGATGATTGTCGTGTAATAAATGATGTGTTATATTGAAGTGGATTGATTGAAATTGAAGATGACCGATACTGAAATTGCTTCGAAGAAAGTAATTGAATAATATATGATTTTTTTCGACGACGTAAACGTTGAAGGAAACCACAAGCAAGTTTTTTATTTCGATGTTGTCGTCTTTTTTTAAGTATAGATCGATAAAAATTATTTTTTAACTGAGATAATTCTGAACTATGCCAATTATTGTTTTGATCAAATACCAGTTTTTCATACTTTGTATGACTGGATTTATAATACTTGTTATCTTGTCTATCAGATGAAATTGTATTAGTATCGTTCAAAAAAGAATCTATCAAAGTACTAGGTTCATTCAGATCAATCATATCATAAGCATTAACACATTTTGGTGGTGATGATGGTAATAGATATTTATCGAAAGATGTTGAATTTATTGTTTTTTCTTCAAAAGTATCTATGAATTCATCTTTACTATAATCTTTTGTTTCTGATTCGAATTCTTTATTTAATTGAGTTTTATTATGAATGAATAACGATGTTGTAAGTGAATGTTGCATATTTTCTATGGGATTTTCTACTTCTATTTGTTGTTCATTGGTTTTAATTAAATACGAAAGTGTATTTATTTGACAAGTACGTGTTACATGCATTAATGTACTTGTTTCAATCTTTGCTAATGTTATTTCACTTAATGGACTTTGTGGTAAAAGAATAGCAAATAATTTAGTTTGTGTTCCTTGAGTTCTATATTCTATGTAAATTTCAGATGAATTATTATGAAATGATAAACTATTGTTTGATTTAATAGTATTTGGTGACATGATTAAACGAGATACTGTTGAGAATTTTTGTAAAAACAAATGAAGTAATGTTGAACTATTAAGTAATTGATCAACAGTATTAAATTTCAATGAACTTTGTTTATTATAATTATTTTGTGAAAATGTTATTAACTTAAAAGTAAAAAGAAAGATTTATTTCTTTTATTTTCAAATGTAATAATTCGAAAATCCCTATAACCAAACAATTCTTTTATAATCAAGTAGCCCGAAAGATAGAGTTTAATCAACATATTTGACTGCAACCAAAGATTTATTTTCGCTAAAAATTTGTAAAGAACTTTTTTTTGTACCTTTATTTCATGTTTATTAATAGCAAACAGATTTTCTTTTGTTTCATCGTGAATTTGTTTTGCATATTGATGGTCATAGAGTACTGATTGACGGTAGAAATTCTTCTTCATATTTATTTTGTTACTGAAAATATTCAGCGAGAACGAGATATTCTTTTGTTGATCAACATCTGGTGATAGTTGAGTAGGTGCTGAAATATTCTCTTGTTGTGTCGCTTCTAAAGTAACTCGACAATATGTACAATACGTTTTTAATTGTTCAAAACATGAACATTCTACTATAGCTAGTTCATATTCATGTGAATTTATTGAACAATTACATTCAAGTAGAATGATTTCAAATATTTTATAGCATTGATTTTGTTGTAAAAATGATAACAAATTCCTATTAATATTGATATATTTATACCATGGATTAATAACACAAGTATAATTCAGTCGAATGACTAATGCATCAGAACTTTTTCGAAAATGAGTACCATGTGTAAAATGGATTTTTCCGTTGTTATGAAAAACTTTCCAAGTAGATATAATTTGATGTTTTCGATCAAGAATTGAACGATAGTTTTCAATAATTTTATATGTTTCATTACAATGACATTGTTTATCTTTTTCTTTCTATAAACAGAAATAAATGATAGAGAATTGTAATTTTAAATTAAAATCAAATTGACATTACAAAATGATATTGTTTCAATGAATTTATATGTTTAGACATTGATATAAATACAAAAATCGTTGAATATTATCATTAGAAAAATACGATAAATAAACAGCTATGTGTTCTAGTTGAATTGCGCCAATGTTCTTGATCATTAGTTCATTTTTCTATCGTTTTAAGATGTGTAAAAGAAAAAGATAGTTATAAACCTGATTAATATCACAATTTTTTTTCTAGGTTATTTTATTATAAAACTAGAAGATATATTGGTAAGAGTCACCACGCACATCAATTACTTATGCTTGTAGCATATTTGGTTCCTTTCTCATTCGTTTTCTTTTATAGCCTTGAAATTCTAGAAGAAAGAAAAGAAAAAAAAGAAGAAGAAATTGTTAACCGTCAGTCGAAAGAAATAAGAATGGGAATAAAAAAAACAAAGAACGGAAGAAAAACCTAACTACGTCAACTGATGATAGTTATTTATTCTGTCGTCATTTATTTGCTTTCTTTCTTATTCATATAAGCTTGCAACGTGCGTCAACTTCGTATTACTTTATAAACGTCTGTCTTTTTTACTGTCGATAGTTAAATAAAAGAAAACGAGAAAAAAGTATCAAATATGTATCCTAATCAACAACAATATCCACGACCAGGTGGAGGAGCAGGTGCTTCTAATCCTCCATATCCACAACAAACACCATACAACGCTAGTGGAGCGTATCCACAACAACAACAACAACCACCTTACGGTAGTACACCACAATACGGTATTGGAGCAGGTTTAACAGGGTAAGAAATACGATCGATTATTTATAAATATATTATTTAGATTAGTACAAGTCGAATACATTTAGTCGAGAAGCGAAAGATAAATAAACATGTGTTTCGACATCTTTTAAATATTAATTATTTTATGTATACAAATTTGCTTATTATAAAATAGAAATAGTTTTAAAAAATATTCGATTGTCCTCTATATTATCATATATAGTAGTTTGCAAAAAGACTTAAAACAAATGTTTAGTCTGTAATAAACGCTAGTTCAACTGTTTTCATAAAAACTTTTTTTTTAATATAATACGTAATAGATCATAGTCTTAGAATATCTGATTTAATATTTGATCCGTTCTCCTTTTGATTCATTAAACAAGAAACACTTCATTTTTGTGCTGTCAGTTGAACTAATTATAACTTTTTCAGTGTTTATATTCAATTAATAAAAATATTATATGATTGTATTGATGAAAATGGTGAATTCATACTGTTCATGTCATTTTGTAACAAACACTATTAATACCATCTTTTTATTTTGTCAAATTAATTTTTCTAGTTTCTCGCTTTTTTTTACCATCGGTCATACATTTGCAACTTTTGACTATCCAATATCCTAGGAAATACTGAATTCTGAACTTTTTGAATTAATAACTAGTTATAGGCGGTGGTATCTTTGTATATCGACAAATATTTTCGAGAGGATACGTTCGCATTTTTGTATAATGTAATATAAAGATATGATGTGATATTCGAGTCACGTTCCTACAGAGGTGCAGAATCTTCCCAAAGAAAAAAAATTTCCCCCCCCCAGGGAAATTTCTGAAAAATTTTCCCCGAGGTAAATGATCAAAAATTCCTCAGAATTGTCAAAAATTTCCCCAAAAAATGCAGTTTTTAAAAAATTTCCCCCCCCCCCCGCGCGGGGGCGCATGAGGAAGATTCTGCACCTCTGCGTTCTTATGTCGATCAGATTATCATTATACAACGTTAGAGTAGAAATGAATCAAATATCTATATGAATAAATTGTTTCAAGTTTTTTTGCAAACCACTGTATAAAGAATAATATTATTATAAACAATTATTAATTTGATTTTTTAAATGATTTTTTTACATAAGAACAATATTATATACATATTAACGCATAGAATTTTATTAGAAGGATGGTAATAAAATCGTGTCTAAATTAATATACATTGAGCTTCTGAAGAAATCATAATTATAAATTAAAAGATAATTATCTCCTATTTTCTAGTGGTTATCAACAAAATATGTCAGCACCATCCGGTGGTAATCAAGGTAACTATGGAGGTTCTGGTAATCCTTATGCACAAGGTAATCAACCTCAAGGAGGAAATCCTTATGCACAAGGCAACCAACCTCAAGGAGGAAATACTTACGCACAAGGTGGCCAACGTATGCCAGGTGGACCTAGTGGTCCTGGTGGTTATCCTCCTTCTGGTCAACAACCATACGGTAGCAATCCATACAGTCAAAATCCTAGTAATCCAGGAAGTGGTTATCCTCCACAAGGCGGTGCCTATCCTCCACAAGGTGGTGCTTATCCACCACAAGGTGGTGCTTATCCTCCACAAGGCGGTGCTTATCCTCCTCAAAGTGGTGGCTATCCAGGTCAAGCAGGCAGTGGCTTCGGTGGTCCAGGAACAGGTCAAAATCCTGGCAGCGTCATGTCTAATGATCAACGTTCACAACGACTTAATCAAGTTGTTCAACAATATGAAATCAATCCGCAATTTGCAGCACGTTTACAAGCACTTGGCACTTGTGAAATTGTTCTCTTATGTGATGATTCAGGTAGTATGAATACACCACTTCAAAGCAGTAATCAAACACGATGGGACGAACTAAAATCTGTATGTAAACAAGATTTCATTTTCTAGAATAACTTTTATTCAAACATACATATATATATAGCTCGTCAATATTATTGCTGATATTTGTGCAGTTATGGATTCTAATGGTATTGATGTTTACTTTTTAAATCGAGAACCTGTACTTAATGTAACCAATACACAAAGTATGCGACATGTATTTAATTCACCACCACAAGGTTTAACTCCACTTGTACCAGCATTACGAAAAATTCTTGCTGCTAAACGTAATCAAACATTTGAAAAGAAATTATTAATTCTTGTCGCTACTGATGGGTATGATTTTGATAAATAAAATTTTATTTTATTTTTGATTTTCTCTGTTACTTTTTTTTGTAGAGCTCCAACAAATGAACATGGTCAAACAGATATTGGTGCATTAGAAGCCGTTTTACGTCAAGAACGTACAGCACAAACTTATGTAACATTCTTAGCTTGTACGGATGATCTTGAATCAGTAAATTATTTATCAAATTGGGATAAAACAATGCCTAATTTGGATGTTATTGATGATTATCGTTCGGAAAAAGCTGAAATTCAACGAGTACGTGGACCAAGCTTTCCATTCTCTTTTGGTGATTATATTGTCAAGGCTCTATTAGGTTCAATTGATCCTTGGTAAGTTTATTTTGATTTCATATTAAATAAATATTATAAAAATTTATTTTATTTAACTTTAGGTTTGATGCATTGGATGAACGTGCATAAACAAATATATCTAATTGAAAACAGAATAACAATACAGACTTCATTTTTAATTTGTGTATAGATTAAGGATATTCTTTTTTTTTTGGTTAACTACTCATTTTGATCTTAAATTTTACTAATTATAACCTGGATAAATTCAAAAAAAAATAAACTAATTTTTAATAAATCATATATCATTCACAAATCAGTTCTCTTCATCAAGTTAAATTGAATATGAAGTTAAAAATACTTTTATAAGCTATATGTCTATCTTCCTATTTATTATACTATCATTCAATACGATAACAAACAGTAGATTTGTTCAGTTGTTTAGATACTATCATATAATTAAAGGTAAGGAAGTGTCTATGGTCACCCGGGTACACATAGCCACTTCCTAAAGCTAATGATTGACGTTATAAAAATATTCGTTCTTGTTACAATGAAATTTCTGTAAATAATCCAATATAAAATATTAACAAGATTAGAAAGAAAATCGAGAATATAGAAGTTTATTTGCAAATCTTTATATTATTTAGTTATCTTAATAGGTGAAGACTACAATATGTATCGAAAGATTTGAAGTTGATATGCGTCTTATTCACTTACTTAAAACTTGAAAGTAATGACACTTGCAGATGATTATATATCTTTACTGAAAAATTCATAATCAAAATTTGATAAGAAAAATAATAATTCATATACCTTATTATCGTTTATTTTCTATGATCATGTAAATTTTATACTACGTATTGTCGTATTTATTTTCGAGACATTTTATTATCAATAAATTATCCTTTTCTTCTTATCTTTGAATATGTATGCACGATTTACCTTTTATACTATTCTAAGAGCATAAGATATAACACTATGATGATCGAACAAAAAACAAATCTTTTTTTTCGTAATAAAATGTCATTCGTGTTTAATGAGAAAAATAAGTATATACACCAAATACCATCACATTTACTATCATCTTCGCCGTTTTCTTTTTACTATACAAGAATATCATGTTAATAAATGATTGTAAAACTTTTTATATTTTCATCTAGGTTATCACAATTCACGAGTATTTGATAAGAACTTTGCCAAACTCGATCTTTATCTACTCTACTTACCGTCACTGTAGCGCAAATAAAGAACATGGTGCACATTTTAGGACTTGTCTCTACTAAGTAAGTATATAATGAATCCAATATTAAAATAATACAGAAAAAATAGAGATATTTAAATTTATTTGTTCATGTGAATACTTTCTTTTACGACATATAAATATCTATTTCAAAATTTTCGTTTTCAGTAAATCTAAACTCTCACATAAAAAATCTGTACTTTATTCATTATTAAATAATTTTTCTTAGACTATAAAACTTTATTTGGTTTTAACTTGTTTTTTTGTTTTCTTGTCCTTTAGTATGTTTGTCTGTGTCTATTTTATGTATAATGTCAAACTTAAATAGTATTTATTGACTACTAACATTTTTTGCACCTCAAATAATCTGGTTTCGTGCAAATACTTTCTAATCCTCGATAAGATCGAAAAAGTACATATTCATTACCTGCATAGGTAGACAGTTATGTAGTACAGAATAATTTCGCAAAAATAAAGACGAATTGGTTTTGATTATTTTTCTATACGAAATAAATTATTTATATTTAGACGAGGAAAAATAACGATTGCTCTTGTTGCTGCTTCTATTCTTGTTGTATCCGGTGTTATTATTGGCCTCGTCTTTGGTTTAAGAAAATGTACGTATACAGTTTTAGTTTTATCAAAAAACTTTGGTATAGTTAATAAATGAATATAGGAGTGAATAGTAATTTAGCTGTGTTCAACTACTTATTTATGTTATTCTGAATCTGTTTGAATATAATCTATATTCCTTTATGTAACTATAGCTTTTCCTGATACTGATGAAACTGTATGTGGTTCCAGTCATGAAACTTATGTTATCAATGGTTCATCTATTTTGGGCAAATATCCTCGAGCAGCTGTAGCAGTTGATAATATTGAATGTTCAAGAATTGGACGTGGTATATTAGAAAAAAATGGTTCAACAATGGATGCTGCTTTGGCAGCTGCTATTTGTAATGGTGTTTTAAATGCACACTCAATGGGTATTGGTGGTGGATGTGTTATAACCGTTTATTCAAAGTCAGAAAGATTTGTTTTTGTCCAAGTATTTTTTAGAGACATTTAATTTTCAGGAAACGAGACAAAGCATATAGTATTATTGGTGTGAGTAATAGATAATTAAATAAACAAGATTCTTTGTAAATTAAATAGAAATAATTTTAGAGAGAAGTAGCAGCATCTGGCGCTAATGAAACAATGTTTGTTGGCAGACAAAATATGTCAGAGTTCGGTATGAATTTACTAAAGAAAAAAGAGCACTTTTGACATAATATTTAATTTTCTAAGGTGGATTAGCTATTGCAGTACCTGGTGAATTACGAGCTTATGAAAAAGCTTTTCAAGAATTTGGTGGAGGTATTGTAACATGGAAAGAACTTTTTGAACCAACAATTCGATTGTGTCGAGATGGTTTTGAGATTAGTATATCACAAGGTACAGCTATTCAACAACAAACAAATAATATCCTTGCTGATTCTGCATTAAGGTTAATATATGAATCAATAATTTATTAAAATTAATCAATAAACAAAATATTTTATTCTAGAGAACTTTTCGTCAAAAATCGAGAGACAAATGAATTATACAAAGCTGGTGATATAATGAAACGACCAAAATTAGCTGATACACTTGAAATAATTGCTAACCAAGGTGCCGATGCATTCTATACAGGTGTTTTAGCTGATAAAATTGTTAGGGAAATTGAAGCTAAAGGCGGAATTATAACAAAAGAAGATCTTGCTAATTATACAGTTGATTTTCGTGAAGCATTAAGTGTTGATATTGGTAATTCATCTACTGCATATACAACACAAGCACCAACAAGTGGACCACTTCTTACTTTTATGTTAAATATAATGCAAGGTATTCATGAAACGATTTTTGTAAAAGTTTAAAAAAATATATTGTTTTAAATAAGGTTACAATATGCAAGTACAAGATTTACAGCAACCAGAATCATCTGCTTTATTTTATCATCGTCTTATTGAAGCATTTAAATTTGCTTATGCAAAAAGAAGTGAACTTGGTGATCCATTGAAAATAGATATTGATGACGTAAAGAAAATGATTATTTATTTTGCTTTAATAAAAATAAAAAATAAATTTTTAGCTTATCCATAATTTAACATCAAAAGATTATGCCGATAGTATTCGTGCAAAAGTCGAGTATGTCAAATAAATTTGATTTAGTTTTGTTTTCATTTTCATATTTAGTGATTCTAAAACATTTGGGTTTGAATATTATGGTGGAACTTGGCTAGATAGATATACAGTAGGAACAGCTCATTTATCAGTTGTTGGACTTGATGGTGATGCTGTTGCATTAACATCAACTGTTAATCTCTAGTATGAACTATTCCATAGTTGATTTTAAAGAATTTTTCTCATATTTTATTAATTAGTTATGGTTCAAAAGTCCTTGGTCCTGAAACTGATATTTTTTATAATAATGAAATGGACGATTTTTCAACACCAAATACAACTAATTATTTTGGTGTACCAGCAAGTCCAGCTAATTATATAGCACCAGGCAAACGACCAGTTTCATCCATGTCACCTGTAATTATTATAGATAAAGAAAGTAAACGTATCCAACAAGTTTTAGGTGCTAGTGGTGGTACAAGAATAACAACAAGTATTGCTCAAGTTTCATTGCTTAATTTATGGTTTAATAAAAATATTAAAGATGCAATTGATGCTCCACGTCTTCATTCTCAATTATTACCACAAGAAGTTATTGCTGAACGTGGTTTTGATTATGTAAGAAATCTTTTGTTTTTCATTTTTTTTTTGAATTATTGAGAATTCTTCATTTTATTTTAGAATATTTTACAACGATTAAAACAACGTGGACATAATATAACATGTGGTTCTTTTGGTGGATCTACTATACAAGGTATTGAATGGCGTGATGAAGCAAATCAATACTGGGCAAACTGTGATATACGTAAAGGTGGCGCACCCGACGGAATATAAGAAAAAAATATATATGTATTCATTTTTATAATATTTTAAAATCTTAATAAATTTTGACGATTATCACAATGGAAAAATGTAAGGCGGTGTGAGTGAACTACGTAGTATGTACATCAACTTGAATATAGAATGACAATTAACATAGATTTATTTCGTTTAAATTAAAAATTTTAAAAGAAAACTAACATTAAAACATAACAAAAGAATTTTTATTATATACAATATAAAACACACCATATTATTTAAGTTTACTTGAAATTCGTTTAATATCATCTATAATTCGAACATTATCTGGATAAGTGGGTGGAAAATTATGTCGATAAATAGATGCTGCTTTTTCATAATAAGCTAATGCTTGTTGGAATTCATTCATTTCTTCATAAACACACGCAATATTACTGAATGTCGATGCAATCGATGGATGTTTTGATGAAAATGTTTTCGTTTTAATTTTAAGTGATAACTGATAATTTTCTAAAGCAAGTTCATAATTACCGAGATAACGATATACACTACCAATGTTATTATACGCTTGTCCCAAACAAAGATGATCGGCTGGAAAATGTTTTTTTAATATTTTCAAAGATTTTTCATGACATTCAAGTGTTTTAATATAATTTTTTTCTTCACCATAAATACAACCAATATTATTTAAACACATGGCAATTTTCGGATGATCACCATCATATGCTTTAATCCAAATATCTAATGCTTTATTATAAGATTCAAATGCTTGAGAAGAATTTCCTTTTTTTCGTTCAATATCAGCAATACTACTGTAACTATCTGCAATACTAGGATCAAATTCTTCTAATATTTCCTTCTTAATTTCTAATGATTTTTCATGCCATTCAGAACTTAAATTACAATTATCTTTTTCCATTGCTATATTTCCTAATGCATAATAACATTCCGAGATATTGTAATAATCATCACCTGATAAATTAGTTAATAAACGTTGATAATATTTTTCAGCTTCTGTTAATTTTCCCATTCTCCATAAAATGTCACCGAAAGAAAGTAATTTTCTTTTATTATCATTGGTATCAAATTTTAAATCTTTAAATATTAATTTTAATTGTGGATCATTATCTGAACATAATGTTATTCGTATAATTGACAATCCATCATGTTGACGATGAATGTCATTAATACGAAATATTGATCCAACCATAAATAATATTTCATCGTCTTGACCAGTATAACCAAATGGTTTAATTTCATCCAGACGAGGATCAGCATCAATTTCAAATAAAGTTCCTCGTAATTCATCTGACTCAGTTAAATGTTTTAAAGCTTTTTGACGATTAGAATGTGCTGATAGAAATGAACTTATGGAAATCAAACCTCCAATTGAATTGTTAAGTGTTTGTAATTCATCATTTGATAGAAACTGTCCTCGGTAAACACGTATTGGAGATACACATCTATTTCGCTTAAGTTGATCTTGCATATCATGAAGAAAAAAACGAAATAGATATAATAAATCAATTGTTTGTTCTTGAAATGCTTTATTTAATAAACGCATTACAAATGAATCTCTTGTATACCACCATAATGCTGTATTAGATGTATAAGTTTGTTCAAATTCATTCAGTATTAATAATTCATTTGCATCACCTTTATAAATATCTCGACATAGAGATATTAATTGATTTTGATCGGTTGTATATGATGGCATATGTAATAAACAATCGATTAATGAACCGGAATAAATAAATTGATTATTTGAATCATTTGCAACTTTTTCATCATTAACACTTTTTTTATATATATTAAATGGTAATGGTTCATAGGTTTCATAATTTCGTTTTGCACGATCGGATCGAATTTGAACAACTAATTCATCGAGATTAACAATTACATTTTTTATCTATAAATATTTTTATTATTAAAATTTTAGATTATTTTATTTATTTTACCTTTGAATATTTACGAGCCCATTTTGAATTTTTTTCTTTATCCATACAATAAACATATATAACCGATACTTGTCTTAATCGATGTATACGTGGAACAATCTCTTGACCTAATCGACCACTAACAATCAATATAATTCGATCATTTTTAGAAATATGGCGAATATATTCTAAACAATCACGGGTATTATCAAATGTCTTTAACTGATGAATTAAAGTTCGAAGTTGTTGTTGAACATTGATATTTTCCTGTCCTGTATTAACAGATGCATCAAGCCATACAAGAGAAAATATCTCAAGATTGTGATCATCTGCAAGCATGGATTTTCGTACAGATGCTCCCATATAATTCTATATTAAATATTATAAAGACTAATATCTAAAAATAATACAATAAGAATATCATATAGCAATTAATCGAATGAATATTTCAATTATATTCTTATTCATGTATATATATAATCATATGAAACGTCTATATACGCACAACGTGAAATAGACTAGAAAATGAATCATTTAAAAAAGGCGTAGGTATCACATAATTATTTTTATCATATGTTTCATCATTTTCTATATGTACTGGAAAAGAAATTTTTATTTATATACACATATGTGACAACACTGATGTGAGTCATTACTATTATCGATGATATGTTCTGCGTCAAAGAGCATAGCGTAGGCAAAAAATCAAAGGACGCTATTGATAATAACAATGATAAGATATAAATAAATAATATGTTTTCTTCTTACTACACATATTTCTTAATTTACTGACGAATATTTTTCTATTACACTGAAATTATACAATTCAATTTAAATAAAATTAACTCATTATAGATCAAATCATATTTTCTAACTATTAAAGTTTAGATGATATTCTTTGAATATGCTGTTCAATTCGAATGATATCTGGATGTGTATTAGGCAAAGTTTGACGATAGATAACAGCTGTTTTTTCATAATAAGAATAAGCTTTATCGAATTCACCTTTCTGTTCAAAAATAAGACCAAGTCCACAATAGCTTACAGCAATTTCTGGATGTAGAGGAGGAAGTGTATTTTGTAAGATTTTCAATGCCATATTATAATTTTCTAAAGCTAAATCATATTGAGCACAACATGAATAAACAATCGCTATATTATTATATGATATGCCTAAATCTGGATGATCAACAGAAGATGTTTTTTGACGAATAGCTAATGCTGTTCGATAACATTCAAGAGCATGAGTATAATTTTCTTGTTTTTGATAAACTCCACCTAAATTTGTATAACATATAGCTAGACTTGGATGTTTTTCACCCTTAACTTGCATCGTAATATTTAATGCACGTAAATATGATGAAAGTGCTTGTTTATAATCATGTTTTTTTAAATAAATTTGACCAATAGCACTATGACTATCAGCAATAGTTAGATCATCTTCTTTTAATATTTTTAATTTTATATCTAATGATCTTAAATGCCATTTGAGACTTAAATCATACATATTTTTTTCCATTGCTATACATCCTAATGCATAATAACAATCAGCAATAGTTTGAGAATTATTCGGTAATTCATTAAGTAATCGAAGATAGAATTTTTCCGCATCATTCAATTTACCGATCTTTTTCAAACAATTTCCAAATGACAATATGTTTGAATGGTTATGTTTATCATTTGTTTTAAATGGTTTTAATTGATCATCATTATCAGCACATAATGTTAATTGTACAGTCCACATTCCATCTGATTGTTGTTGAATATTAATTAAACGAAAGATAGATCCTAATGTAAATATAACTTCTTCAGTTTGTCGAAAACTATTATTTGATTTAATAAAACCAAATGGTTTTAATAAAGCACATTCTGGATCAGCAGTAATTTCGAATAGAACTCTTTCAGTATCATCTGAAAGTGGTAATTCATTTAGAAATAATAGAGCTAAATCACGATGAATACTTGTTGAGAAAAATGAATTTATTGAAATTAAACCTCCAATACAATTTTTTAATAAATCAATTTGTTCTTTTGTCATAAGTTGACTTCGATAGACTTGAATGGATGATGTACATTTATTTTGTTTAAGTGCTTGACGAATATCGTGAATAAAAAATCGAAAAAGAAATAATAGATCAATATTTTGTATTTGAAGAGCTTTATTCAATACTCTATAAATAAATGAATCTCTCATATACCAATAAATAGCATCATTAGATGAATAATTATTTTCAAATTCTTGTATAAGTTTCATTTCATTATCAATATCATGATATTTTTCTTTACATAAAACAATTAATTTATTTTTATCAGTATTTATGGGTATCATTTGAAGAAGAACATTAATTAATAATTGTGAATAAATAAAATGCGCATTGGAAATATTATCTGTTTGTTGATGAGAAGTAGTTGATTGAAAAATATCTATTAGTAATAACTCATTCACTTCATTATGACTTCGTTGTGAACGTTGTGTTCGAATGTTAGTAATTAATTCAGTGAATTTTGTAACGATATGTTTTATCTGAAATATGAAATATGTTAACGTTATTTTATTTGTTTATATTACTTTTGTATATTGTTTAGCCCATTGTTCATTTGCTAGTTTATCTAAACAATAAATATAAATTGAAGAAACTTGACGTAGTTGATGAATACGTGGTATTAGTTCTCGACCTAATCGACCACTCGTAATTAAAAGAATTCGTTCATCTGATGAAATAGATCGAATATGTTCTTCACATTTATCAACATTATCAAATGTTATTAAATGATCAATTGAAGATCGAATTAATTGTTGACCATCTATATTTTCTTGAGATATATTTACTAAACTATCAAGCCATATAAGAGGATATGTAACAAGATTCTCATCTTCTTGTTTCACGAGTTTTATAGCGGCTTCTTTTAATCGATGATATGTTTTTAACATGTTTCGCTCTTACTTTTAGTTATCTATAAATAAAGAACATTCTTTTAGTATTTTATCAAGGTAATTACGCACATAAAAAAAATAACAAACTCAGTCATGTGTGTTTTTTCTCTTAAAGGTAATAAATCGATATATATATATATATGAAAGTATATTAACAAATTCAATCAAACGTACGAGAGGTATAGATACATATACTTTGGTACGCATATGAATCAGAGTATGATATGAGGTCATTATTTAAAATGGATATTGTATCATATTCAAAGTGATCCGATAAAAATTTTGTAATGCATTTTTGTATTTAATAAAAAAACGTATCGTTAACATACGCATACTTCCTATCACGTTGAATGATACGAAAGTAAAAGAAACAGTTGATTATCATGAGATATGTGTTAAACCATTTATTTTTAGATACAGTAATTTTTACTGAATGGTAGATTAATAAAACTTTAATGTTAATAAATATTCTTTGTGTCATATTGAAATACATTTGAATCAGTTTCCGTAATATGAATTCAATCAATGAAATTAAAAATATAGAACACAAAAATATTCCTTGTTAATTTCTCTAGATAGATATGACAAATTTTAGAGTTGTAGATTTTCTTCAAAATGACGCCTCAAATAACGACTCTTGAAGACCTTGTGCGTCACTATCTAGCTATGCAAAAATATCACAAAACAGATCTCTATAATAATTCACTGATTGACACCTTATATATTAAACAGCATACAAAATACGACAGATGTGTACCTTCTGAAAGTTATAATCGAGTTTTTCGTTCAGTAATTCATCTTGACTTTAGTGTAATTATAGCTAAAATCTGGTGAATACTTTTGATATACCAAAATGAATAAGTGGGAGAGTATTTTACGGCTACGGCCATACCACGTTGAATACACCAGTTCTCGTCCGATCACTGAAGTTAAGCAACGTCGGGCTCGGTTAGTACTTGGATGGGTGACCGCCTGGGAATACCGAGTGTCGTAACCTTTTTTATTTTTTCATACTAACTTTTGGAACTACTATTATATTTGATAGATCTTTGATATTTACGAATGTATTCGATATAACAACTACTCTTTTTATTGAATATTCTGAAAACCGTCTTTTATATTCAATCTCTAAATGTCACGATAGTATCGGTAAAGATGAACATTTGAAGAGTTCGGAAGTAAATATCTTGAGGATCTGGGTATAAGTGTGTGTATTGCATTCATTCCACGCCCACCCTCAAGATTCAGAAAATAATTACTACTTCTCAATTGAAAAATAGTGCACAATCTTTGATAATAATAAAAAAAAGAAAAAAACGCTGACTTCCCAACAGGTTTCTTTTTTTCGTGTGAACGTTTTTATTTCTGCTAGTTATCATTTGGATTTATGAAGAAATGTTAAATAATAAATTGTATTCTGATTTCGGTTTCTCTTTTACTCTCTATTTTCAATTAAATCATTAAAGTATACAAGAATAAAACAATTATAACTGAGTAAGAAAAAAAGAAGATTACCTATTTTTATTAACAAGAGATAATCACCATATTTATATAAAATAATGTTCAAAAATGGTAAGTCAAATAAGAAGTGTAGTGAGTAAATTATGAAAAGATTAGATCAAGCTCATTACTATTTTCGAACTTTCTGACTATTATTAAATGAAAGTATTTCAAAAATAGATATTCATCTTTATAACGAATGAATGAAATGTTCATTCAAACAAAATAAAAAAGCATGACTTTCAACAGACTACATGTGAGTAATAAATAACATTTTGTTGGTAATTGTAAAACTTTTGCGTTTCAGAAAAAAAACTATAAATTACATGATTAATTTCAACAACAAAATATTTATAAAGATAAACAATGTATTTCAAATTTTGATATAGAACGTAAAAATAATCATTTCAGATAATACATTTACTTTGAAACTATTATGTCATATTCATAAAATTACAATATTTATTCTAGAAATAAAATATTACTGCAATTATTTATACAAGTGATACTATTCAATGTATTTCTAACAATGAAAACAAACTCGAATTTTATTTGATAAATATTGTCTAAGTTCATGATTATATATAAACAAATTAATAACAATACCCAATACACATATTTGACTAAATATAACAGCAATCTGTACGATCATAAAATTCAAATCTGTTGCTGCATCTAAAATATTAACAATGTAAACAGGAGTCCAACCTCCAATAAACATTAAAAACATAAAAATCATCTGTCGTAATAATGATATTTCTCGACGACTAATTTTCGGTTGTTGAGCAGTGACATCGCTTGTTAATGCACTAATAGCTTGTGGATGAATTCGACGAGCAGAAGATCGAACATGCGAAAAGATTATGATATTTAGTATGATATTGATTAATGAAGGTAAAATTGCAGCTATCACCAGTGTATAAATTGTTAAAGACAATTGATTGCCACACCACTGTAATAAGACAATGAATATATACATATTCGTTCGAACTATGGAATTTACTGTTAGGAAAATTTTCAAAAGTAAAATGTTTTGTTTGGAGTTTTCTTATAGTACCCTACAGAATGTAAAAGATTCAGCAAGACAATTATAACTCCAGCAGAAAGATCGAATGACAAATGAGCAAACTATGGACTAAAACGAAAGGAATTATTTAGTGGCCCTGTACGAATAACTCATTGTCTCGTTCATTTAATTTATTCATGCTCTAATAGTCATTTATTTTTCTAAAATCTAATGTTGCTTAATCTTGAAATTAATATTTTATACTGAAAAGTAAATGCTTACCCTTATACTCCTTGCAAAAAATGGTAAAGAAAGAACAAATTGAGCTATCCATTGACTTGCAATACATACGACTACCCATCGTTTTGTCTTGAAAAAAGGTCTTGTATGATAAACTACCGAACATAATCGATGAATAGAAAAAGCTACGAAAGCAAATGGAACTTCTACACTAGCAACATTAAATGTATAATATATAATATTGCATATAAGTCGTGGATACTCAAACTCCGCCATTAAAAAATAGATAATAAAATAAATCCATGTTATCATTATAGTAATACACATATTAAGTATAAATATATTATTTCGATTATGAAAACGTCGGACAAATATAATACAACATGAATATACAAGGGCAGCGAGTATATTCACTGCGTATAAACCGGCTTGTATATAGCTTACGATATCACCTGCATCCATATTTTGTGAGAAATAAAATGATTTATCAAAGTGCTAATTTCTTAACGGATAATATGAAGCATTAAGTGAAAAAAAATTATTTTCATATTGTTTATTATCTTCGTCATCAGATTTTCTTTTAATTTGTAAGAGTAGAGAAAAAAAGCCCGACATTTAAACACTTATTGCACTGTTTAATATACAATCTTTTTTATAAAATTTGATTAGAAAATAAAGCTGATTAGTGCATTGTATTGCTTTTATTAGATAAAGTAATTATTTTCTTCTATAAGTACCTTGCAGTGCATAATTCAGGACAAACACCTTTAACGTTCCACAGTATGAGAAAGTTGTTTATCACACCTGGAAAGAACTTTTCCACTAATATTGGCATATGAAGATGTGAGCATGCGATAAATATAATACTCACCTAACACATTGCATTTGATCATATACATCAACGATTATGCTCGTGAAAGAATTAAAGTTTACCATTGATGAGTTTCATTGGAAGTATGGAGCGTATCTAGTTTTTTATTGAAACATCTGGTTCCCTACATTGTTTTCAATATTAAAACATCCTAATATTTCTGAATTATCTCCGTTTCGATCAATTAAGAAACTAGGAGATCAACGAGCAAATAAGGATTACTTGCAATCATATCTATGCGCTCATGTTCTCGAGTATTGTATCGTCTGAGAAAAGGCAGCTATATTGATTTATCATATAAAATTATTTTACGTTAATTTTGCAAGAAAAAAGAGTCTAAATAGAATGATTATTTCCAATTATTCGATAAATTTTTTAAAGATGGAAAATAAGTAAAATGGAACACAAGATATTTATTTTCCGTTAATTAATAATTCTATAATTAATAAGCACCAATCGAATCATAACACTATGGCCAAGGCGTCTGACGTGAAAAAAGTTGAAGACAAGATTCACTATTGCACCATCATACTATGATGCATAGGATATAAGCGATATCTCAATTATTTATACGAATATAAATTCGTAAACAAGAGGAATAAAAGTAGACAACTCATTTATGCATTAATTTTCGATTTTCTCGTACGATTTAATTTTATTTAAACCCATCATCACCTATCCACTCTCTCAAGATAGATATTTATTTGTAAAATCTGAATGAATCTCATGAAAATAAGTTATTTCCACCACTACTATAAAAATGATAATTCGAAAAGAGAATAATTTTATTAAAATTGAAAATTCGTTTCTTGTGTTTATATGTTTTGAATAACTGTTATGGTTCTACACTATTTAAAACTACATCATTAACTTCATCAGTAATTAACCCTTTTTCATTTATTAGTTGGGATACTGTAAGAGTCGTTAGTGGATATTTCATATTAAGAGCAGCTATCCAAGATTTTGTTAATGGATCATACAACTCTGCAGTAGTTTCAAGAGAAAGATTGTATTCCTCAGCAACAAACATTTTTCATTATTCGAGCCTGTGAGCGTCTTCAATCCATTACCCACAACCATACGATACTACAAAAGAGAAAAGTGAAAGAATGTTGTACGCTTACAGCCATACCATGTTGAATACACCAGTTCTCGTCCGATCACTGAAGTTAAGCAACATCGGGCTTGGTTAGTACTTGGATGGGTGACCGCCTGGGAATACCGAGTGTCGTAAGCTTTTTTGATTTTTTCTTATCTTTGAAAATTACAGTATATTACTTACGTTTTCATGAGATTAAATTTCGTTGAAAATCCTCCTTTCAAGCAATATGTTGTTTATTCTTAAAGTTTTTTCTTAATGTTTCTGATAAATAAAAATTAAACTTGTAATATTTATTAGTAAAAAAACATCTTTCATAATAAGTATAGTTATACATATGCATATTCTTCGTATTTTGATACAAAATGATATATATTGTCACATAATTCTATAATTATATAATTTTTCATTGAAAACTAAACATAGTATTCAAGTACTAACAATACTTATTACAAGATATTATAGTGGTACAAATCTTGATCTAGTAATTTTCATTTTGAATGTGTTTTTAAATAATTTCATGTATATATAACAACGAAATATTGTAATTTATTATTATAATAATCATCATTCAAGTTTATTGTACAAGTTGCACAGTGCAATCTCAGTGATACTTCGATTCTTATGTCTCTTCTTGATAAAATTATATATATAGTTGTTTCACAATTAAATACATTATTTGATTCGTTACGTTAATTAAAAGATATTGTGATTATTTAGTAAATTAAAAGAATTTATTCAATGAATATTAAAAAAGTAGCAATTACAAAAAGATTTATTTCTGCTACTAGTGAAGAACACAAAAAATCATTCTTTCTGTTTCGATTTCTTTTGTCATCTTGTCATAAAACTGGAATATACATGTGCTATTACGCATATACATCACATTTTTCTTGAAATTACTACATAATAATATATTAACACCAAGAATTAGAGCAACATAAATTAATGTGTTTGTAAGATAATTAGAGAAAGCTAAAAACAATGAAAAAAAACCGTTTCATATTTAGCAAATTAAAAAATAAATTATGTGTCAATTACTTCCGATATTTATGTGTAAGAAACAATTGCGTACATTTTTTTTTGGTGTATCGACAATAACAGAAAAACAAAAAACCTTAAAAAAAGAAACAATAAAATTAATCTTTCAGTTGATTTCTTTCTATAACTCTTTTTAAAATATATCATGTTCATGAATCTTCACTTATCTTTAAGGAATATAACAACTGTATGAATTTATGAAAGTTGTATTAAAATAGAATGTATCACAATTTAATGTCATATATTGTAATAGAAAACGATGTTATAGTCTATGTAAATTTGTTCACTGCTCAGACATGTGAAGAAGTTGATTAAAACCTAATCGATTTTGAACGGCTACATCATAGAATCTAGCTGTCTGATACTAATTAAAGTAAAAATGTCATAGTCTTTTAAATATTCAGACAGAGAATAGTCGAGCGTTAAATTGTAAGATTGAATCATATTTTGACGATGTATCATATATTTAACATTAAGTTTTACTGTGTGATATGATCTGGAAGATCATAATATTCTGATGTAGAATATATGACATTAATAAACACTTTTAAACGATGGTGTTTATTATTCTACTTTTGTTTCCATAGCATATACAAAGGAAAAAAAGAATCTTTTTTTCTTATTTTTAAAAAACTACCTCTTCTTTTTCTTTACATATTCATTTGCACTCAATCTCATTTAAAGAGCGTTCGTTTAATTTTGTTATTAACTTAACTTTTATCATATGTTAAGAATCGATATCAATTCAGTACATAAGTATGAATAAATTCATAGTAACTAAACGTCCTTTGAGAGAAAAAATACAGCACATGATATATAGTTAGTAGCTGTCAGTTTTCTTTGGAAATCTTTTTGTTATAGGTAGAGTTATGATAAACATTATTATCAAGATACACAACGATATAAACATTAGAACTATTTACCATAGATTAGAATAATAGTATTTCACCAATTGTTTGAGATGTCTAGAGCCTTAGCTAGTTATAATAAGGAAAGATATAACTTCACAGATGGATGAACAAGAAAGGATATCGTTAGTAAAAGTAAAAGTAGAAAAGCAATTCTGCAAAGATATATTCAACAGTTAAGGAGTTTCCGTAGTTTCTAAAATATTATTGCACTCCATCGAACCCTCTTTTCAAAAGCCAATATTTTTATATAGATTCAAACGACGATAAATATTTTTAAGGTTTATGTATAGAATTCAAAACTTATGTTTGTATTTTTAGATATAAGTGAATTCTTCATATCATGATGTTTCTATCTATTCTATCAATACTATTGTTGTCAAATATTCCGACGATAATTACCATACGTTTGAGTTGTTATCCAAATGCCAGTCTTGTTTTATCTTCGACTGCTGTGCTTCATAATAACTTAACATTTCAAGATTGTCAATGTTTGCTTGTTCAACTAAATATTTTAGGCTTTCAATATAATTACAATGACCAATCTTGTTATACATTTGGTAATGATTCTTCTCTAGCAAATATTCGATTCACTATTAATTCTCAAGTATGCTTTATCAATCAAACGACAACAGTAGGTTGCTAACAATATCGTTAGGTTTCCTCATATAATTAAAAATTCTTTAACTGTTGTTTAAAGTAGTATATGATATTAAAAAGCATATTTTTTTTTTCATTTACTATTTTAAAACAAACTCACATGAATTAGATAGACTTTATGAGAATCAGAATTTGTGAGAATTTTAAACTTCAGATTTTCGTTTCAGACACATGTATTTCATTCAATTTATGTCCATAACTTTTTCTCCAGTTCTTATATCATTCAAAGTAAAAATAGTCTGTCTAAGGTATATCTGTAGAGCATTAGGATTTGATCGAATGAGTATTTCTCAAATAAATTTAACAGTTGCCCTGCTCAAGAAGTATTACATTCATTTATTACAATCCATTTAAAAAGTTACCATAATCGTTATTCGTCTGTTACTCATTAATAAATTAATATTTTCCATTATTATTATTAAACTTAAAATTTAGCTACGTCAAGAAAATTAGTCATTAAACTAACCGTATATTATATAAAATAGTTGCATTCTCAAAAATGTCCTGTTACAAAATTTAATGTAGGATCATATTTCATGACATCTTACTAATATTAAAAAAAATGAAACATAAAATCTTGTAATCTCTATAGGTTGATTATTGAACTTCTTCATCCTTACTTGTAAAAGGTGCTATATGAAACGGATTATTCGATAACTAATATCTATGTAATATATTGGAGTATAATATTATTAGAATTTAAATAACATGATTATTCATAGATATCTAGGATTAAAAGCTATGACAGACTTCATCAATGAACTTCTATCATTCGTATGAATTTTGAAAGACCTAATTACATTTATTATTTATAGTTATATTCCTCAACAACCATACCCTCAACAGTGATACCCTCAACAGCTATAGCCTCAACAACTAT